TTCTGTCTCTATACATAATTTTACTGTTTTCTTACACAGTCTTCATCCTTTAGTTATCACAAGTATGTGTAGTTGACACTCCAATGTCCTCCCTCCACCCAGATCTGAATTTTTACGATAAGCCTGAAGATGTCTCTGACGTTTTAAACTTAAGATTATCAGAACCAAATATAAATTCTCCACCTTCAATTTTTTTTTTCATTCCTCCCTTTCTCTGGCTAATGGGTCATTATGCTTCTAGCCATTTCTGCACCTAGAAACCCCATTTGTTTCTACCTTTCCCACTCATACGTATTCATTTTCTGCTAGGGCACTCTTAAACAGCCTGTGGTTACCCATATTCTCTCTCTCATACCCTGCTACACACATGCACGCACTAGCCTTTTCATTATTGCCACAATTTCTCTGTGTCAACCAATTTCTTCCAGTCTCTGGCTCAAAATATGATTTGTGTTTGCCCATCTCCATGAGTCTTTGTTATTTTCTCATTAAGCAAAGTGTGGAAAAAATTGGGCAACATACAATTTATTTTCTTAAAAATACTCATTGCTACCCTTGTTGGTCATCAGTAATAAGTTTCATGTTTCACTATCCTCTAACCACTTAAAAGAATAACAAGTAGTCCAATTTAATCATACAAAGTATAGAGTATGTTGAATGGGATAGGCTCAATTAGCATTGCCATAAATGGATTTACCAAAGCTCTCAGGCTTGTGATCTTAGGAAGTTGATTTTACCAGCACTCTGTATATTAGTTTGGGTCCTCCAAGATGCAGATGTAATAATGGGATTGAACATATAAGAACTATATTAGGAAAATCTCATAACAAAAAAAAAGAGGGAGCCAAGGAAGGCTGGAGAGCCCTCAACCAGCAATGTCTGACCTCAAGGAAAGAGAGGCAGAAGCCTTCTGGATTGTCCTGGTGCAATGAATTTATAAGGTAAGTTCAGCAGTGCTAGTAAGGAATCCCCAGAGGCCAAGTTAGAGGAATCCTCTGTGGCCAGGAGTGGATCTGTGTTAGCATTTAACTACAGATGGTTATCAGCTGGGAGAAGATTATGGGTAGCATAACCTTGGAAGCAATAGGACTTTAGAGCACAGCAACTGGAGTCTTTGGTCAATTACATCTGTAGTTGCTGGTCTGTATTCTCTTGGCCACCCCAACTCTGAAAGCTGATTTATTTCTTTTCTTTTTTTTTGAGACAGAGTTTCACTCTTGTTACCCAGGCTGCAGTGCAATGGCGCGATCTCGGCTCATCGCAACCTCCGCCTCCTGGGTTCAGACAATTCTCCTGCCTCAGCCTCCTGAGTAGCTGGGATTACAGGCATGCGCCACCATGCCCAGCTAATTTTTTGTATTTTTAGTAGAGACGGGGTTTCACCATATTGACCAGGACAGTCTCGATCTCTTGACCTCGTGATCCACCCGCCTCGGCCTCCCAAAGTGCTGGAATTACAGGCGTGAGCCACCATGCCCGGCCTGGTGATTTATTTCTTAAAACATAGCTCTCTAGCTAAACTCATAAGAAAATTGGTTATATTCTATTAGCTGCTTTGCTTACACTAAGAATGAACATAACCTGCAGTGTCAAATATTCATATTAATAAGAATAACAAATCCCCTCCATGTTAGTAGATTTCTGTCTAGGAGCTGAATTCCAATGCAGTTGAATTGGTGAGCATGAACTCTGAACAAAGATTTAAATGGACAATTCAAACCGTGATGACACCAGGATATGACATTCAGATATATTCACCTCCAACTAAGGCTACATCTGCTCCGAGAAACATTCAGATTACAAATGGACCCAAGAACTCTCCCTCTAGGCAGGGCTGGAGTGAGGGTGCTGAAGTATATTCCTAAGTGTATCTCTCATGTACCTTGCTGACCGGTCCCCTCTGCATTTTTTAACTTTTGCACAAAACAAACCACCACAATACTTACTGGCACAAAGCACCGATTTATTATCTATTTCTCCAGATTCTGGGGTTGGCTAGGCGATTTTTCTCACTGTACCAGCTTGACTGGGACATGGTGGCTTAGGATGTCTGGAGTCTAACTCCTCACTCTCATGTTTGGGTAGTCGAACAGGATGACAAGGAGGACAGAGATGACTGGAGCCTTTCTCCATGTGGTCTCTCATCTTCCGAAAGCTAGCCTAGGCTTCTCTACCGGGTGGCATAAGGGTTTCCAGTGAGAAGAAAAGCAAAGCCTGAATACACAAGCACTTTTTAAATCTCTGCTTTTGTCATGGTATTTTAGCTAAGGCAAATCACATGGCAAATCCCAGAGTCAGTATGGTAGAAGCCATCTAAGGATATGGATGCAGGGAATCCTGAACAAATTGGCTTAGTCTATGACACCATCTGATTAGAATGTTGCTCCTCCCCTCTCTCCTCCTCAGCCTCCTTGACTTCATCCTTCTTCTCCTTTTCCTCATTCTCCTTCTCCATCTTCTTTATTGTTATAAAATGAATAAGGTCACATCTACATCCTTACGTTTTCTGATTCTGGCATAAAAAATTGATGCTTAAGGTACACTTCTATGTATGTTGAATTAAATTGCAATATGTTAATTTTTATTCTAACCATCAGTCTTGCCAGCAATGACAATCCATCTCTTTCTACAACTCATAAGCACCCGAGTATCCTTGGGATTTCCTCAGAGAAGAAGCTACCAAGATCCCCTTTGTAACTGGTAAACATTACATTGCAAAATTATGGGATTAATGTTTCGTTTGGATGGTTCCTGGTGAGTTCACTCAGTAGTGGCAATTCATTATATTTCCTGATTCCAGGAAAATAATAGACATGTTTATTTTTAAGTTTAGTTGTTTCAATGAGAAAATTAGGAGGTATAAATTGAATAATAGGTGGCTTGTTAGAAACTGTAATTTTCTACTCTATGGCTCTTCTGTCAGCTAACTGCGTTGAGCCTATTATCACTATAATCAGGTGCCGAAGAATATAAACATGAAAGCAACATGCTAAAAATAAAAAAATAAGTGAAATGCTTCTGGGCTTTTTGCTTGTAATCTACGCAGTTTCTAGAGCAGGAGGTGAAGCTGTGCCACAGAAATTCTTGTGGCTGAATGCTTCGCTGCCATTTTCTCGACAGAGGTGTGTGAGTGACCTACCCAGTCTTCATTCATAGCACACATATGCAGAGCTGCATTGGCGTCGTTTGGTGCAGATGATACTCTTAATTTGTAGTCTCACTGCTAGGCTTCAAATTTCATTTCCATTAGCCAAACCTCTACAAACATTTCTAGTCTTAATTCCTGGACCCTTCTCCCCACCACTAGAAGAGCTACTAGATTGATGTCACTTAAACATATGTTTACAGAAAAATAATTGATCAAATTGGCTATTTGGCACAAATAACCAGTTACTCAATTTTGTACTATTCAGCCAGGATGTCTGTGTATGTGTGTGAGAGAGATAGAGAGAGAGAGAGAGAGAGAGTGTGTGTATGTGTTTGTGTGTGTGTGTGTGTTGATTAGTAATATCAGAAAAAGGTGAGACTGGCACTTGCTTTTTGAAAGTAGCATTTACCTTTAATGATTCAGCTCCACTCTTTGGTCCTCTTGAATTGACTGGTATGTTTCTGCCCTGATAAAGGAAAAAGTCCCTTTGACTTTGTCTGAATCTCTGGTTGTTATTGTGAGATTTACCTTTTACCTTGCCTCTTGCATTTGCCCAATACTGGAACCCATGGAAAATTTGTGGTGTTTAAATATTTCACATTGCAGCGAGACACGGTGGCTCATACCTATAATCCCAGGACTTTGGGAGGCCGAGGTGGCTGGATCACTTGAGGCCAGGAGTTCAAGACCAGCCTGACCAACATGACAAAACCCTGTCTCTACCAAAAATAGAAAAAATTAGCCGGGCATGGTGGCATGCACCTGTAGTTCCAGCTACTCTGGAGGCTGAGGCAGGAGAATTGCTTTAACCCAGGAGGCGGAGGCTGCAGTGAGCCAAGATCATGCCACTGTACTCCAGCCTGAATGACAGAGAATTATATTTGGTTTCACTTACTTTGTAAAGAAATTGGAATCTTTTTGTATTAGAATGTGTTGTGCAGGATTCTGAACTGTTCAAGCTTTTAATTGAAGGCATTGGTTTGAAAAGAGGTAAAGTAAAAAATACTCATAGCCTTCACGGAACAACTGTATGATTAAATCATTCTCTTCCCTTTGTTATAATTGGCCTTTAAGCCTCTAAAGGACAGAGATCTAAAGTATTATTTCATATATTATATAAAAATTATCTTGAGATATGCTAAGATAATTTTCAGATTCAGTTTGTTTATTGAAATTGTACCTCAAAATACTTTCAACCACCACTGTCAACATAGCCACTGTTTGTAACACTTAAATTAAAAATATCTCAAAAAAGAAAATAAATAAAAAATGAAAGTTAATAAATAAATATTTCACATCAAGCTGTTTAGTTGGATTCCACAGCTGCTGGTTGTCTAAAGCAGGGACATATTATTGTACTTCTTTATGGTTCTAATATATGCTCAGTATCTACCCTGGGCCCTTGGAATTGCTGTTTTTTGTTTACGTATCAGAAGCTATTTGAATATCATGTAGTCATTCATAGTCTACACACATTCATGCAAATAAAGTTATTTTTTAGTAATCATCTGTTAACAATCATAACTTTAATACATTCCAAGTTCTTGTTTTGTGTTGCTATCTTCCCTTTTCTAGCTAACACATCAAGCGATATCTCAGCAAATCTAATGTGATGTCCTGCTGAGTGCTTTCTTGATAAAAGAAACAGTTTCAATTTCCCTACATAAAAACAGGAATTTAAAGTATGTATACTTTTTAATATCATTTTAGATTTTTGTATATAAGGTACCAGGAAACAAAAGAAAAAAATTATATGCTATTGTGTTTCGTTCTGTTTCTTTTTCTTTTTTTCTCCAGCTCTGTGAACAGCATGTCCCATTTTTAACTCATCACATCAATTTTTTTTTTCCAGGACTATAATGATGAAATTCGTCAGGAACAACTACGTGAATTATCTTACTTAAACGGCTCAGAGGACTCTGGACGTGGCAGAGGTATTAGAGGCAGAGGGATCAGAATAACTCCCACAGCTCCTTCAAGGTACATTCACTCTTACTTTAAATAAATTAAGGATGATGGCAGGCCTTTGTTGTCCTGCTTTATGTCATGATTATCACTAGCAGTAAACAACAACATTAGCCACAATCACATACCACCACAGCAGAAACAATAATGATGAAAGCTTATCAGGCACAGAAGAGCTTTACACATAATAACTCACCAAATTCTCCATATTAGGAGATAAATAGCATCTGCAGATGAGAAATTGAAGTAGAGAAATATGTTTGAAATTTACCTAGGGTCACATAGACAGTCTGACTCCAGAATTCACATTTTATACTCTTAACTACCCCTAGAAAATAGGGTAGCAAACCTGAAATTTTCTGCATTCTTGTTCTGTCCCCTGAATTAGGACACACAGATGATACAATTATTCACCAGTTCAAACCAAGACAACGTTGCACTAAGAGAAAACCATAAACTTTTTCTGTGCTTTAAATGGTCCTTGAATTGAATATAGTCTTGCTAGATAGGTAAGTAGATAGATATAGATACAGAGATAGATATAGATAATATATATGCCATCAGCCCAGAAAGCCAGAAGAATACTTCTTGCATGGGTGATGGTAAGAGTATTTAAAGTTCAGAGGGTATTTATAGTTCCTCTTGGTGATCAGAGAGGATTTTATTTGATTTTGCTTACTTTGCAAAGAAATTGAAATCTTTCTGTATTAGAATGTGTTTTGCAGGATTCTGAATTGTTCAAGCTTTTAATTGAAGGCATTGGTTTGAAAAGGAGCACAGTAAAAAATACTCATAGCCTTCACAGAACAACTGTATGATTAAATCATTCTCTTCACCTTGTTATAACTGGCCTTTAAATCTCTAAAGGACAGAGATCTAAAATATTATTTCATATATTACATAAAAATTATATTGAGATATGCTAAGATATTTTTCAGATTCAGTTTGTTTATTGAAATTATACCTCAAATACTTTCAACCAACACTGTCAACATACCCACTGTTTTTAACACTTAAATAAAAAACATCTCAAAATGTTTCACACTGGTCAGAAAAAAAAGTTAAGAATGATAAATTCCCAAATAAAATATCAGGGGATACTATTTACTAGAGGTAAAATAGGGCAATTCTGGAAATTCTGTTTCACTAAAAGCAAAACTTCTGAATGTGTTCTAGAGTTTATTTGTATTTTATCTTAAAAAAAATCAAAAATAAGCTCTTTAATGCTGTTCAGAATCGTGTTTATTGCTTAGGGTTAATGTGACATAATACAATACTGTACTTTTTTCTGGGATGAGTGTTTTATAAAACCTTGTACATTTCTAACGTCATCTTGATAAGGCAAAAAAGACATCATTGCTAGTCATCCTTAATGGATTTAGTCATGTGTTAAACCATACAAAATTGCAACTTTCGTAGTTCAACAGATGACAATTTTATAGTTTTATGTGGCTGAACCTAAGTATATATTTAGGATGCCTAGACAGAGCATCAACTTTTCTGATTTCATGAGTAAAACACCAAAAGCATTGGCAACAAAAGCCAAAATAGACAAATGGGATCTAATTAGACTTCAGAGCTTCTGCACAGCAAAAGAAACAACAATTAGAGTGAACCACCAACCAACAGAATGGGAAAAAATTTTGGCAATCTACTAATCTGACAAATGTCTAATATCCAGAATCTACAAATAACTAAAACAGATTTATAAGAAAAAACAAACAAACCTATTCAAAAGCAGGCAAAGTATATGAACAGACACTTTTCAAAATAAGATATATATGAGGCCAAAAAACATATGAAAAAATGCTCATCATCACTGGTCATTAGAGAAATGCAAATAAAAACCACATTGAGATACCACCTCACGCCAGTTAGAATGGCAATCATTAAAAAATCTGGAGACAACAGATGCTGGATAGAATGTGGAGAAATAGGAACACTTTTACACTGCTGGTGGGAGTATAAACTAGTTCAACCATTGTGGAAGACAGTGTGGCAATTCCTCAAGGACCTAGAAATATAAATTCCATTTGACCCAGCAATCCCATTGCTGGGTATATATCCACAGGATTATAAGTCGTTCTATTTTAAAGACATATGCACATGTATGTTCATTGTGGCACTGGTTACAATAACAAAGACCTGGAACTAACCCAAATGCCCATGGATGATAGACTGGACAAGGAAAATGTGGCATATATACACCATGGAATACTATGCAGCCATAAAAAATGATGAGTTTGTGTCCTTTGTAGGGACACGGATGTATCTGGAAACCATCATTCTCAGCAAACTGTCACAGGAACAGAAAATCAAACACTGCGTGTTCTCACTCATAGGCAGGTGTTGAACGATGAGAACACACACATGGACATGGGGAGGAAGCATCACACACTGGGGTCTATTGGGGGGGACTAGGGGAGGGACAGCAGAGTATAGGGAGTTGGGGAGGGATAACATGGGGAGAAATGCCAGATATAGGTGATGGGATGGAGGCAGCAAACCACATTGCCATGTATGTACCTATGCAAGAATCCTACATATTCTGCACATGTACCCCAGAACCTAAAGTGCAATAAAATATATATATATATATATATATATATATATATATATATACACACACATATACACACACACATATAGTGAGGGCCATTTAAAAAACAATTGAATTTTTATGATTTTATTGTAATGAAATCATCAAGAAATAGATTTTGCTTTGTTATTGATATTCCTTAGTAGAATTTTGCATCTGCCATTTTTGAGTAGAGCATATAAGATTTTAATTTTAAGAAAAGCCTTATTCTAAGATTTTAATCCATTTAATAATTGAATACAGGATGGTGCATTATGGTCTGGATTTTAACATATCTTCTTAGAAGAAAAATTTGATTGAAAGATTTTACTGTCTAATCCCATATAACATACAGATCTGATACTATATACATAAAAAGAAAATAAAATTAACATTAAAAATTAAATTTCACCTCCAATGCTGTATTGACATCATTGGTGGTACGAACATCAGTGAAAGAAAATGAAACAGAATTTTGTTGTCTTCTATTTCAAACAATATGATGAACTGTATCTACAATGTAAAATGATTAGGGAAAATAGCTTTATAAAATAGAAAATCATATTAATAAGAGAACTTTGCATAACATGAGTTAACAATTGCCAATTTGAATGAACAGTTATGAAATTATTAGTTTATGAGGTTATTTAATTACACTTAAATTCAAAAAGATGATGCCTAGAATATTTTTAAATTCTATAATTTGTTTAAAATGTATTTAATTAAAGCAATTTATATTTCAATAATCCTATCTGTAATACTCTAATTTTCCAATAATGTGTACCAGAGCATAAAGCATTACATCTATATATTGTAATAAGAATTTATTTTGCATAATTGACAAATGAAAATATGTGACATCTCTAACACACATCATCACTACATGTTGCAGTGAGTGCAATCACTGGAAAATGAAACATTAGGGGTAAATCTTGAAGGCTTTTGTTTACCACAGTGAGAACTAACACATAGAACTAATGGAGTTTGTTAAAGAGGAAAATAATCATACTTGTTTCTAGGAAAGACTACTCAGTCATCACTGTGGATGATGCAGATGAGTTAGAGTGATTGAAAGAGAAAGAGATAGAGACAGAGAAATGATTTTATGGAAGGGGAGCCAATCAGAAGACAAGTCCATCATTCCAGGCAGATAAAAATGAGCAGCATTTGGAATGTATAGAGATAGGGCCAGATCAGAGATTGACATTTATATAATGCCAATTAGATGTTGGATAAGAAGGCTTGCCCAAGACAAAGATAAATTGTTGGTGTCTAGCCTGGTAAGAAATTGGTGATCATTATTAACTAAGATTAGGTGAAGGATCAAATTAAATGAAGAATATAATTATTCCTGTAAATAATCTGAGCTCTGTGGATTGCTGGTGTGACCTCAGGCAGGTGACTTGTAGTCTCCATGTCTTGGTATCTCAACTTATTGTTAAAATACGTTAGAACTGCCCACATGACAAGTTTGTCAAGATGCTTAAATTAGAGAATTCGACCAGGTGCAGTGGCTCACGCCTGTAATCCCAGCACTTTGGGAGGCTGAGGCAGGCGGATCACGATGTCAAGATATTGAGACCATCCTGGCCAACATGGTGAAACCCCGTCTCTACTAAAAATACAAAAATTAACTGGGCGTGGTGGCGCATGCTTGTAGTCCCAGCTACTCGGGAGGCTGTGGCAAGAAAATTGCTTGAACCCGGGAGGTTGCAGTGAGCTGAGACTGCACTCCAGCCTGGTGCCTGATGACAGAGTGAGACTCTGTCTCAAAAAAAAAAAAAAAAAAAGAAATGAAAAAGAAAAAAAAATTAGAGAATTCATATAAGGCAGTGGTTCCCACATCGGCCTGCACGTTGGAATCACTGGGAGCTCCCTGTCTCCAGAAATTGTGGTTTAATTGCCCTAGGGTATGGCCTGGAATCTGGAATTCTCAAAAGATCCTCGGGTAACTCTAACACGCAGGCAAGTTAAGAAACTTCTGATATAAGGAACACAAGCCAAGATATAGCATTATGTCAGGAAGAAATCAGATAATAGCCGTCATCAGAGTTAGGGACTGCCGGGTACAACCATCAGATCGAGGACAGAAATTGGGGACATCCAGATTCAAAAGTGGATCCAGGAATAGAAGCCAGTGAAGGAGGATGAGGAGTAAGAAGGAAGGACGAAAAGTAGAGAAAAGCAGTCATAAAAGCCCAAAGAAACATTTTCCAGATAATAGTCCACAATCTAAAAAATAGTAGGAAGGTGCTATGGCATGGAGACTGTAAAAGAATCTAGTGGATCTGGAAGTCAGTAGGCTACTGGTCATCTGAGCCAAGAGCATGTTCAGCAGAGGGGCGAAAGCAAGAACTGGACTGATAACATTCAGTTCAGGAATGTGGAGGAAGTAAAGAATTAAACATGGAAAATGTTCTTTCAGCACGTCAGCCAATAAAGGAAAGGATACTTTCTTTTATTTGTGGTTTTAGCCAGGGGCAGTATCCTAAAAAAAGTGACGTGAATTAAATTGGAGGAGAGAACATGAGGTTAATATCCCAGGGAAAGGACATAGTGGATAAGAGGTAATGAGTCAGGTTCAGGAGACGGGTTTGCTAGGGCTACGTCTGGTAGTCAGCTGATGAAGGAAGAAAATGGAAAATTAGTTTTGATGTGAGTATCATATAATATTAGAGCAGAAGGAAGTACTATAAATTTAGAAAACTGCATTTTACTTATTCAAAAAAAATTATCTACCTCAAGCCTACGTAGTTATAATACTTACCCATGACTATTCAATGGTACAGCCAAGACTTGTGAATATAGTTTAGAGTAGGGTGACCATATAATTTATTAGTCACACATGGACACTTTTGAGAGTGTTAAAAAGCTAAACTGAACAGGAAGCTAGAACAACAGTTATAAAACCTGGACATAAGCTCATCTTGCTTATGAGGAAGCAGAAATGTGCTTAGAGGACTAGTGTAGGCAAAATTGGTCTTTACATCCCTTTAATAGATGCATTTATATATCATCATGATAATACAGAATACTGTACTCTCAGCCATGTTGTAGTTGAAGCCAGCACTGGGCCTCTGGGTCTTTGTGTTTCACCTTCTCCTAATCTAGGAGAGTATTCTTTATACGTTAGGCTCACAATAAGTTCTCTGATCATTTCTCTATTCATCAGCTCTATAATTATTTAATAATTTTAAAAGCTTTTCCAGCATTCTGACTTTTCACTCATAAAAGCTCATTTTATTTTATGAGTGAAAATAAAGGAAGAGCCATCTGAGTGCTATTCATAGCAGACAGCATAACCTACGTCCCCATATGTGGGTACAGCCAAATACTGATTGTTGACATCCCAGTGATCATCATTTTTCCCAGAGCTTTAGTGTTCCTGCTGAAAGCAGTGCTCTCTAGAGGCCAACCTTTCAGACACAATAAAAAGTGAAATAGCCGTGCTTTTGCCCAAAGATTTCAAACAAACACTCAGCCTTTCTAAAGGCTTCAAAATACCATAAAATTATCTAAAACCATTTGATCTTACACTTGGAGTGCAAGTTAATATTGTATGAAGAACTGCAATACAGAGTATTTAGTCCATTATTTTCATTACAGATACTAAAGTATTCCTCTAGCATCATAGATATAAGAAAATGTATTCTGTCAGGGACTGCGCCAGCTCACAGGGTTACATGCATGATGATAAATCAGGGACAAGGAGTTGTGATTTCAAGTGACCTCAAACTTAAGCTGCTGTAATAAACAGAATGGTATCACCACGGTTAGAGTTCCACAGTTTATTAAAGTACAGAAAACTTTTCTTTTTTGTAAATGACAGCATTGTCCATCACTGTCAGTAATCCCCAGCATAGAGGAGACATAGACAACTAGCCACTCAGTTTCAGAGACGGTCCAGTGAGTCATATATCAGATGATGCTCTGATTTGTGTCTTCTTGGAGAATCTGGAATATAATGGGGTTATATTCAGAGTGGGTTTTTGTTTGTGTGTTTTATTTTGCTTTGGTTTCTAATTTTATAAAAGACAATAACAAAGTGTTTTACATGTTTTTTCTAAGAACTAAGTCATAGTATTTAAAATTGTCTTCTATAGAGATCAGCACACTTTATATCTTACATAATTTATATTAAGCACATATACATGCACATACAGAGAGACAGAGAGTGAGAGAGAGACAGAGAAACCTGTATTTATTTCATCGTATGGGGGCTGTGAGAGGAAAGCTTTTTCTGTGATAGGCCCTTTTCTCCCATCACCTGTTTCTCATCTATCATGACTTGTTTATCTAGGGGCCGTGGAGGTGCCGTTCCTCCTCCCCCACCACCGGGACGAGGTGTTCTCACCCCTCGGGGAAGCACTGTAACCCGTGGAGCCCTTCCAGTGCCGCCTGTAGCAAGAGGCGTACCCACTCCTCGAGCCCGGGGGGCACCAGCAGTGCCAGGATACAGGGCACCCCCTCCTCCAGCCCACGAAGCTTATGAAGAATACGTAAGTACTCTCAAGAAATAAGTTGTAAGGATGAGTTAAACTGATTAGTTAACAACACTATGTCTCAAACCATTCATATACCATGAATATATCAGGTAATGTTTGCTGCAAAAAACAAATGTCATTTGTAAGAGAGTTTAAGCAGTGCATTTAAATGAGAACATTTTGAGAAACGGTTTTGTTTTACAGGTGTCCTCAATGTTGGTGCTAGTTAAAGAGCTTGCATTTTAATAACCAAACTATCTTGAGGTTTTTTTATCCTTAGGAAGTTTGATCAGATTTTAAATGAGAAATAATTTTAAACAAAAGATGAATTGCCATATATTCAGCGATTTCTAGAACTTCATAAAGATTAGCATAAAACTCAGAAATATTTGACAAATGTAATATGATTATATTATAAACTTTGGTAATAATGTAGCCCATTTGGCTGGTCTTTCGTTTATATATCCTGCCTCTTTCTTTCACCGTATTAAAGATGTGGATTGGCATAAACAATTCAAAAAAATATACAATGAACAGATAAAATGCAGTGTTTCCAAGCATCATCCTCCCTTCCTATCTACAGTATCTTTTGGTCATCTAATGTATCTAAACATCTTTTGAGCTTAAGTTCTGATTGCTAGTATTCCACTAATTACATTGTGGTCCTTGTGTCCATTTCTCCAACTAGTTTGTGAAACTTGAAAAGGGAAAATTTTCTAATAGTATAACGATAGGAAGTCTTCTGTAAATGTTTAACTGAGGCAAGCCAGATGATTCTACTAAGTAGAAGATTTCTTTTGCCTTTAACGTCTCCGGCATGTCCATCTCCTGATCTAGGTGTTTGTTTCATTCAACTGCCCATAAACATGCTGTCCTTTTCAATGTCTTATGTAAATTATTGCTCATTAAATATGAACTCTTCAAGTACAGTTACTGTGACATACTGGGCACTCATATGGACTGGTTAATCAAAACTCAATTATAAGATAAAGTGAACATAGTTTATGTGTAGTTCTAAGAATATGTTAAGTCTTAGCATATATTCATTTTTAGGAATAATGTTAATACTTAAATAGGAAACATTGACAAATATATGTAAGAGTGAAGAAAAATTAACTAAAAATTCACTTCTACTGAAACAGATAAAACGTGTTCATCTAAAGCATCTTTACTACATCAAGTATCAATATTTAAAAGCTTAGACAATCTTAAAATTGCAAAACCAGAAACAGAAAACATATTCTACCCTGCAAACAAACCCGCAAGTTAAAAGAACTCAGGGACTATCCCTGGTTCTGCCATCTCTTGCCAGAGACATAGTATGTGCAAAATAAGTACTTGTTTAAATGAATTAAAAATCTACAACAAGGATGGTAGGATCACATTTTTATCTTTAAGAAACTATTTAGCTCCACAGTCTTTATATATATTGAGACTATGGTGTTTTCGTCCTCCAAATAGAGGCTTAAACAGGTCAGTTTTTAAAAAGAAGCAAGAAAAACTTTTCAGGTAATGGTAGTTAACATTCTTATTGATAGAAGAATTTACACAGCATATATGGGACTATGAAAGAGAAGTTTGCCAAACAGTTGTAGCCTTTCATGTGCATTTCAGCCTATGGTGATCACATCACTAGAATATGAATCAAATCAACAAAAGCATCAAGAGTTTATGGAAATGTGAGTGAAAGGGTTATATTCTTAATGGGACAATTTAAGAGGTAAGGATATTCCTTGGAAAAGATAACAGAAAATAGTACAATATTAGAAAGTAATCAGAAAATTTTACTTAGAATTTAAAGTACCCACTTGATTTTATTTATTCACTCAGTCATTCGCTGAGCTTCCATCTTATTTTAGGTGTGTTGTGAAGGTCCCGGAGACATATCTGTGAACAAATCAAACCACATGTCTGCTTTCATGAAGCTTATACTGTAGTGGGAAGAGACAGAAAACAAACATATGTAAATAAATGAATAAAAGTTAGTGAGGTAGAGATAAGTGCTCTGGAGAGAGATGAGGAGAGTCCACTAATGGGCAGTTAGGGAAGGTCTCTCTGAAGTGGAGGCGTTTGAGCAAACGCCTAAATGAACTGAGGGTCTTGGCCAAGCGGCTGCCTCTGTAAACAACATCCCTAGTAGAGGAAACTGAAAGCATAAATGCCCTTGAGTGAAACCTGTTTGAAATATTTGGAGATCAACATGGAGGACATAAAAGCTGGAGCAAAATGTGTGAGGGGGAGGTAGCAAATAAAATCGGGGCAGTGGACAGGCCAATTCGTGGTGCTGTTGGAAGGTGTGGAGGAGGGAAGTGGTGTTATTAGATTTATATTTTAAAAGGTTTATTCTGCCTACATCGTGTATAATAGAACATGAGGGTGGAGGTAGGCACACAGGTGGAAACAGGAAGGCTGTTAACTGGTTGCATTGCCCCCCACCCACCCCATGAGAGGATGATGGAAGGGATGAGAGGAGGGTCGGTTCTAAGTGTACTGCAAAAATACCTGTTCAGATTTGATGATGAAAATATGTGGACATGTGAAAGAGAGAGAGTAAAGGAATGTTTTTATGAAGTGAAGGTGATTAGACTGAACGACTGGGTTAAATTGAGACACTGTTTATTGAAATGAAGATACCACAGGGAAGTCGAAGGGTTCAGTCTGAGATTCCCGAGTGTCACTGGGTGGACAGGATGTGACATTTTGAAAGAGACAACAGCATCTCAAGGTTTGAACTCTAGCTGTGTCACTCCCTGTGTGATTTTGTAAACACTCTGAGGTTTGGATTTCTCTTCTATAGATGGAAATAATCATTTCAGCCTCTCAAGATTCTATTGAAGATTAAAAACAAATATAATCACTTATAAGCATGCATAAATACCTAGAATATTGTTGATATTCAGTAAGAGGCAACTATTACATAAATTTTATCATATATAATATTTAATTTTTTGCTTGGGATAAATTATGGAACCTTTGAAGTTATAGACATTTATAATCTATTTTTGTGAATCATGTAAGCATTATTGATTGCCAAAAGGCAGAAGCACTTTGAACTTCATTTAGTAGAATTTTTAAAAACTGGTATTGGGGGAAATATTGCATGAATATAGGTTCATAAAATCCTGCAATAGGAATGTCATCTGGGCTTAGGAAAGATCTATACCAAGGAACTAGAAAATCATAAGGAATCTGTCTTCTTATCTCTGCTTTCTCTGCATATGTGTTTCCATTCCATTTAATCTACATACTGGATTTTTTTGGCTTCTTTGACAATGTGACTTACATATAGTAAAATATCTCCTCCCGTGGCTGCTATCTTTTTATGTCCAGCTCTAGTCACCAACAGATAGTAGCCTCTCAGTTCTGTTCCAAATCTGCAGGTGAGAAAATGGTATTCAGCCAGGCTTGTCAGATGTCTAGCACTAGTCAGTCATCTCTGAGTATAGGGAGAAATTCACTTGAAATTAGGTCTGGATCTACCACTCATCAACCACCAATGGCAAGGGAAGGGGAGGGGAGAAATTTGCATAATATAAACATAGTTCTTGGGGACCCAGCCCCAAGGACAATATGGGGAGACACTAATTTTCAGAGAGGAAAAAGTATTAAGAGCTTGGCAGACATCCCAAAATATACGTACAGGAACATACTATTGATCATAGTAAAAAGTATATGGATATATCTTTGAAAAACTTTTTATAGCATATTTTATTAAAACCTGTCTTGTATTATATTTTCATTAACTTTTTTTTCTAAAAACAATTTAATGAGTAAAGTTTAATACATGGCTGATAGGCTGCTGACTGCAATCTTTGAAATCCTCAGTACCCAACCCAGATTAGCAGTCAAGAGCTGCTACCCTCTGCTCTAATTTTAAACTATTGATTCCTCTGCAAGGGGTAAGAAAAACAAAAGTTTAAGTGTTTCAATAACAAAATAATAGCACCATGCTGAGTTGATGGTGAAAATCTCAAAGGAGTTCTTAACTTTCAGATAAAATTTCTTAGAAAAGCCTCCTTTTATTATAAATCACACTATGAGTCGATTCACTCTTCAGACTTCTTTCTCCCTGGCTGCGCCTCAGCGTTAAATTTCTGACCACATTGAATGTATTTAGGTAATCAAATCCACTCCTTGCAGCTGGCCTGACAAGAAACAGCTTACTGTAATTGAGATTGCTGTTTAAAACCATCATTAGTGTTAGCTGAGTCTGAAAAAAAAAATTGAATTTCAGTTTGTTACACATCCTAACCCAGACTTTAAATATTTTAAAGCTTTTTTTCATTGACCTTCTGCTAAGACAAGTACATTTACATTTTATAGATCCATCATCATGATTGAAGTAGATTTGGAGAATCAAAAAGAGTATTTCAACAAAAATTCCCATAGGACAACATATTGAGCATTATCAGCTCTACCAGTGGATAATATGTTAAAAGACAATAAACTAAAACTAAAACTTTTGAATACCTCCTTGGTTCTAGTCACTGTATATTAACTCAGTCTCACGATAATACTATCAACTAGTTTTAGATTTTACTTTTTTAGTAGGTGAAGAAACTGAAGCCTGGAATGAAGAGTTGCATCCACTTTTCTGTCTACAGCCTCTCTATCTGATACATTGTGTTTCCTCTTAGTAAAGAACCATAGTGTCCTATACAGGACTTACCTGGCAGAGAACTCAAACACTGACACAGATCTGTTGAACTTTATACCCCCATCTAGACCACTAGCCAGTGTTTCAGCCCCCTCAGCAATACTTAGGATATCTCCCCGTATTTATACCTGCATGAATACCTCCAACTCTGGAGAACTAAACACCTCCAGAAATTAAGTGCTGGAAATATAAAACTAAGCGGTTAAAGAGAAGCTGTCCCTACTCTAAAAAAGTATGCCATCTAGTGGTAGAGACAGCATTAGTCCAACAATTAACAGATGTATTTGCTGTTATACAGGGCTCTTATCTTACTCTACCCTCTATTAGAAATCATTTTCTATTATATTCTCTCACAAGA